GAAGGATCACCCCGTGAGCTGGTGGACTTGGCTACACCCTGATAACTGACAGCTAGATAGACTACACCTAGTCAAGCAAGTAATAGATAAAACAAGAAAAGTATCTAAATTCATGCTTCAGAAGGTTAAAAAGGGGGTTATCATCATTCAAGAGTTGTTAAATATTATTGCGTGGGAGGGGTGACCCTGACCTACCCCTTAAAGGTTAAGAGTTAAAGAGCAGAGGATACAGAAAGATATTCCAGGTATCACTAATATCATGAATAAAGCTCCAAAGCCAGGAGTAAGTGTGGCCTGTTCAGAGAACATTGCAGAAACTGGCCTATTTGGAACAGAGACTACCCATTAGCAGGCAGTGACATATAAGATTAGCCAGGTAAGATGAGAGCAGATGGAGAAAGGATCTGAAATCCAGGATGAGAAATCTGAACTTTGACAAGCATTTTATAAGAAGGAAAAGAACTGCTTTGTTCTCTTTTTAGTTTTTGTTCTGTTTTTTAAGATCATAAAATATTCTGGCAAGGTCCTGTAACGTTCTTTTTCCTTCCTGCCTTCTAAAATTGGTCCACTGATTTCCCACTACCCAGCTCATATTACATATCCCAGGTACAAAACTATCATGTTTATGATGTTTCTACTCATGTTTGTACCGATCCCCCACGTCCAACTGCCTATCAAACAAGCACCCTACAAATTTTTCAACTATCCTACATCATTGGTCCATCCTGTGACATGTGCAAACTAGGAATTTTAAAATGACTCAATCTGTACCCTCAAGAAACTCAGAGTCTGGTATAGGCAGAAGCCATGAAAATGATCTAATACAATACATAGTGGTAGCTTCTAGAGTAGAGGAATGCTTACAGTATCAGGAGAACTAAGGGCAACAACATCAGTTTGAAGATCAGGAAAAGGTAGAAAATACCTAAAAGTATGGACTGGCCTGAGTGCTGAAGGAAAAGAAACATCAAAGGGTGGGGATAAGACCTGGGGATGACACTGATTAGCATTGGACTGCAAGAGCTGGGCAGAGACTGCCATCCTGGTCCTCAGGTCCTCGTCCTCAGAGAGCGTTAACCCATGTGGCTGGATGAGCAGAAGTAGTCAAGTGCCACGTCATGAACACCATTCTCTCATGCTAAGAATTTTGCATTTTAGAATAGCTGAAAGATTTTAATGGAAAAAAATAACATGATCATATTTGTATTTCTTAAAAAATAGAAGATGGATTGAAAGGGCACCACAAAGCTTTTTTCCTTTCTAATATAAAATACAACAAAAATCAACCCTGGCTGGTGTGGCTCAGTGGACTGAGCACAGGCTTGTGAAGCAAAGGGTTGCTGGTTCGATTCCCAGTTGGGGCACATGCCTGGGTTGCAGGCCAGGTGCAGGGACACATGAGAGGCAACCGCACACTGACATTTCCCACTCTTTCTCCTTCCCATCCCCTTCTCTCTAAATAAATAAAGAAATAAGATATTTTTTAAATATAACAAAAATCTGATAAAGGCTGCTATAACATTCAATTTATCTCTAGTTATCTATTCCTACTCCTTTTCTAAGCTTAGCTCAGATCCTTCATAAAGCCTTGCCTAACTCCTCCCAAACTCATTCATCTTTTCCTTTCTCAGAACTTTTATGGAACACCTGTCTACGCACTGCACTGTGTCACCACCTTGCACTTCTACCTAATTTAAATCTCTTCTCCCTAACAAGTATGTAAACTCCCTGAGGGAAAAAAATGTCATATTTTTTTAATGTTTGTGTAATACACACATGCCCGCCTCTTCATCCCATAGTACCTAGCACAGAAATACAACATTCTGAAACAGATCATGCCTTTGAACTGAATACCTGGTCTCCTTTATCCATGAATAAAAATACTCTACTAGTCCCCATAAATGAGGAGCAAAATAAAATGTATAATTAGTCAAAACTAAGGTGAAATGATTAGCAGTGTCAGCAAGGGAACTTTCTGGGAAGATGACAATGTTCTAATTTATGAAACACATGTGTTAGAATGTTGTGCCCATTTATTTAAAATATATATAACTAAGATTTGTACAGTTGAGTATATACAAGTTTTACCTAAAAGCCTATAAAAATAAGGGGTGGGGAACAAGGAGCTACAGACAAAACAAGACTTGCAGAATATTGATGGTACTTCTCAGGTAAAGTATAGAGGAATATGTTATATTATTACATGTCTACTTCTTAAAAAGTAATATGTGAAAATTTCCATAATAAAAAGTTATATATACATGTGTATATATAACTTAACAGGGTGAAAAAACTGCATTAACAAAAAGTAACTCAGAACAAAGTTACTCTTCTCTTAATGTTTGAAGTAATTCACATTGTAACTTTTAAAGTGGTTTTACTGGCTCTATTGTCTACTTAATTCTAAGATATATCATCTAAGGCAGACCTACTGTTGATAGCACAATCAAAAAAAAAAAAAAAAGGCTGAAAAGCCACAGGTTCCTTAATTAAGAACCAGAGAGTAAAATTAATTAGCCTTGTTAACAAATATACCCAAAAATCCAGTAAATTTTTTTTAATTTTATTCATTTATCTTTAGAGGGGAGGAGAAGGAGAGAAATATCAATGTATGTTTGCCTCTCATGTGTCCCCTGCTGGGTACTGGCCTGCAACCCAGGCATGTGCCCTGACTGGGAATCGAACCACAATCCTTTGGTTCGAAGCACCCCCGCCGGGGCTCAGTCCACTAAGTATACCAGCCAGAGCGACATCCAGTAAAATATAAAGTTAGAGTTCTCTGCCCTGGCTGGTGTAGTTCAGTGAATTGTGCTACAGTGGAGTAACCAAAGGGTCACTGGTTCGATTCCCACTCAGGACCCACGCCTAGGTTCCCCAGCAGCTTGCAGGCCAGGTCCCCAGTGGCAGGTGGGCGGGCTGGGGGGGTGGGTGAGGGGCAACCACACATTGCTATTTCTCTCCCTCTCTTTCTCCCTTCCTTCTCCTCTCTCTGAAAATAAATAAATAAAATCTTTTTAAAAAATAAAAGTTAGAATTTTCTGATCTTCAAAATAGCAAAAATTGCTATTTTGTGATACCAAAAATAGCAATTGAAAAGCTATTCATAAAATTCTGGAAGTACATCTACAAAGACACACTCAACACCATTCTTAATAGTTTTAAAATAATTCAATCATTTTATCTCAGTCATTTAAACTTTAAGTTTATCAGCTCATAATCTGCATTCTCCTCCCACAAAACTGTTTCTGAAAGATTTCATAACATTTTACATGATAAATAAACACAACTATTTAGTAAGACAAATTCTGTGACACTGTTTTGCTACTGTTGCTATTACTTCTCATTCAATTATGTTTAAAACTTCTTTTACTCAATAATATACAGTCTTATAAATCAGTAGCTACCTTAGCTGTAACTAGAAGAGACATAAAGAGTTCCTGGGAAGCTGATAATATTCTCAGGTGGACGCAGACTTCAGTGCTTATTAGACAAGTGAAAATGTCTAATTCTATTAGTGAAAATTTTTCAAGCTCTACACTTATGATATGTGTACTTTTCTGGATATAAGTAATACTCCAATAAAGCAAACTTTGTTTTTTTTTTAATCATAAAAGTAAGCCAAACTTTAAGGATTGTCCTCAAATTCCCACACCCATACTAAACACCAGTTTTATGTACTAAAATACTTCTCTGCAAAAATAAAATTCAAAATTATTTTACAGTATTTAACACTTTCTATTGGCATATTATCAGACAACAAATAAATTCCACTTGCAGTTGGGGGCTCTGAAAGTATGCCATCCAAACAGAAAAAAATTTGTTTATATTTCTCAAAATTAATCCTTTTAAAAGCAAATTAATAGACGTGAAAATGTACAGTGCTCTTTTGTCCCAAGATGCAAATCATTTTCAACTTTGTTAAGTGGATTTAGGAAGGAAGAGCAAGACCATCGCTTGGCTTTAGTAAGATAAAGAAGACAGCAGAGGGTTAGTAAGAACTTCATGCAAAGGAAGGCCACCTGTCAGTGTATACTGACAAAGTCTATTACTAATCAGGTATTTTAGGCAAACCAGACACTGAAGGCAACAGTACCTGCCCAAAAAGATGAATGAAATAAAGCGCATGGAAGGAGTATGCCAAGTTAATATTACGTATCCAGAGACTAGCAAGAATGCTTGGGAAGTAACCTCATTCATTTGCTGAAAGCAAGTGTCTCCCAGCAAATAAAAAATTGTATGTAACCCCCCAACAGTAACTCAATTCTCCGCCTTTCTCTAATCTTATAATCTCCCTAAATTAAACCTAAACATTAAAATTCTTTCGAGGGGTGGGGAAGCAGAGGAGTATAATCAAAAAGGATCTCGATCCTCGCTTAACACGCCTGCAGAGCCAGGGGAGGGAAACTTGCTTTCCCGATGAAATGTCAGGGCGTTCACATTCCAAGACAACACACTTTAGACAGCAATTCTGCCAAGGATCCAGGATAGATCAAGGTAACCATTCTCACGACTTCAAAAGCAACTGCTAGGGAATCGTGCCAAACTTCGTCCGAGTGACTTACACAACAGCCTCCAATTCCCATTCTCAAACACATGTCCACAAAGCGAAGCCATCGTGTGGCAGGAGATGAAATGGCAAAACTAGTACACACCCAGAAAGTTAGTAACAGAAACGAAGTGGTTTGGGGACCAAGTGGGGCGCGACAGCCTCGAGACAGGGGCACAGGTTTTCTAGGGGGCGCAGAGGAAATACCCACTCTCCGGGGGCAGAGTAAGGGGCCGGCCAGGCCCGCAAGGGCACAGCGAGCTCGGAGGACGCCGGCGCCACGGACACACCCGGACACCCTGACATTGGAGCCTGGCAGCTACCGCGGCCGGCGCTCTCAGCGACTGACCCCGCGGGCGAAGGGACCGGTCCTCCTGCCACCAGGCGGGGCGGGAGAGCACGCGAGGGGCGCCCGCTCGGGCCCGGGAAAGCGTCGCCCCACGGGCCTTCTTACCCGTGCAGGCCGAGGGCGCGGCGCCGCTTGCGCAGCAGGCAGAGCACCAGGAACGCGGCCCCCGCCAACGAGCAGTTTCGCGCCGTCAGGTACTTGCTGAAGGCCGCCATGGCACCGCCTGAGTGAGCGAGCCAAGGAAGGGGCCGAAGCGCTGATTGCCTTAGCGTAGGGAGCGCGAGGGTGACTGGGAGGAGAGGAGGGCGCGAGGGAGGGCGGTGCGGGCCGCGCAGGACCGCCCCCTGACGCGCGCCGCCGCGCCGCCCGCTTGCTTAAGCCCACCTCGGGTTTTGGCTGGGCGGGAGCGCGCGCCAGCACCACTGAGGCCGAAACAGTCCCGGTGCTCTGTGCGCAGGCGCGGACTCTGGCGGAGTCGCCGGACCCTGGGGCGCACCGCACCAAGTAATCTTCTGTGCTTCTGTAACTCCTCCGAGGCCTGGTTATTTGAGGCAGCAACAGCCTCACCCCTACTCGGATCTCCGCACACACACGCCTAGGCTTTCACAAGAACTGGAAAAGCGGGCCGGACTGCCCCGGGGGTTTCACAGTACCTGCCACTCCATCCCCCGTAATGGGCCGTTACCACCCTCTTAAAGGAGCCTGGAAGAAGGGAATGGCCCCATCACTGAACGTTTACATAAAACTGCGGGCTCGGTAATCAAAGATGAAAACAACCGTAGGAAGCTCCGAGGAAGTGTAGGGAGATTTGGGAAGAATAACTACAAATCGGAAACCTTTTTCCAAGCCAGTGTTTTCCAAACCGTGGGTTATAATTTCCAGGGGACTGTGAAATCAGTTTGGCAGATCCAGAACACTACTTTTTGTTTTTTAATGAAATTGGAAAGAACACGACATAAAATCTCAGAATGCATCACATGTAAAGGAGCTGTTTTGAAATTTTTATTCCGGTCTTTTGTATCTGCGTGGTCCGAGTAAGTGATTATGAAATGTATTTCTTTATGTGGATCTTATCACAGCAAAAGTTTGAGAAAATCTTCTTTGCAAAGAGACATTCAGAAACAATTGTGTATTGTGTTAGAAGCTGGCTTTGCTCCCAGGATCTGAAGAGCGTTACAGATTATAGCATTCTTCTGCCTGGTCCTAACAAAGCAGAAATCGTTATTCTTAGCATTTAGACTGGCATAGTACAGGAACAGGGAGTTCCTGTTTCAGTTGAGGACACTGGAGAAAAGCAATGTGTGTCAGTCAATATGAGCACATAAAAACTTGTATAATATACATGCATACTAAAGTAGCCTGCGTGTTAAAGAACAGGTGGCAAACACAAGGCCGAGGGGTCCAAATCCAGCCCTCTACATTGTTTTATCCTGCCAGGCCCCTTATTTCTACCCGGGGCAGCTCAAGCTCTCACTTAACAGGTAAGGAATAGTTACATTGGTACAGTTCTAAAATTATATTTGGCCCTTGAAGGCAGCAGCAAGGCTGATGTGGCCCCTGATGAAAATGAGTTTGACACTGCTGCTGTAGGAGGTAATACATGTTTATCGTTGTTTTAAACCACTAAATTTGGGGGCTTTTTAAAAATGTAGCTAATATGATTTAGGCCATGCCTTGAAAAACTGATAGAAGAAAGGGGCTTTAGGAGAAGATATAATAGCAAAAATAGAGCGATAAGAAGGGGCAAAGCAAATGCAAGAAGATGATTAAGTCTGTTGTGGATGGAAATTCAAGGAAGGGTGTGAAATGGGAGAAAAGGTTGAAATGTTTAATGCAGGTCAATATTTAGTGGAGGTAAATGTTTAATATTTAATTCAGGTGTGGGATGAATAGTAACCTCAGCTTTTATTTGAGGAAGACCGTTCTAGCGGCAGTGAGTAGGGTGGATGTAAGGAGGAAACATCAAGCAGAGAGACCAGTTTGAACACTCGAAATAATCTAAGTAAAAGGTTGGGGGTGAGTTATTTAATGGGGAGACATTTTCTAAACAACTCTGAGATTTCCCGGTCAAGTGCCTGAGAAGATGATAATATTTACCTGAGGTTGGGGGCAGAAAAGTGGCGTGTGCTTATTGGGAAAGATAATGAGATGCAAATGAATAAAGTCCTCACTAGTTTCTCAGCACCAAGATCAACTCCAAGACCCTCAGCCACTTACACAAAGGCAATCATGATATAAGCTCTGCCTACCTCTTTGCATTTCTATCTTGGCACTCCTCCCCTCCAATAGATGCACGTATCCTACCTCTGCCCCAGGAGATGAAAGCACACTGGTAGTCCCCTCTGTTGTCTGTCTTTGAGTATGCTCTTCCCTCCCTGAAATACCAAACTCTTCCTGCCCTAACCTCCTCCCTCTTGGCTCAGTTCAGCTTTAAAGTGAGGCATTGATGGCCTCCTACTCCAAACTCTGTTTTCCGACCACTTCCTCCTACCCCCCTCCCAACTCCTGCCAAGTTAATCACTTTTTCTTTTGTGCTACTTCTGTATCATATATCATTCTATTAATGTATAGTAGGGAGTCTGGAAATGCAGGTCTTAATACTTTTTTTAAGAGAAACTGCCAATCACTTCTCATTACCTTCACAAGGTAAACATGTCAAGTCACCAGGAACAGATCATCTTTGCTTAGAAAAGAGTCAGTTGAGAAGTTCCCCTCGCCAACACAAATGGAAGAATAGATAGGTACCCACTGCGCCAGGGAAACTATGCATCAAGACATCCTGACAAGACCAGTCCTCCAAATAGCCCTACTTTTAGCCCAAACCTGTATAGGGAAAGTTTGCACAAGAGAGCCTTAAGAGGAAAGAAATGGTGATCTCATTCTTTCTTTTGGAGTTTAATATTTCTAGGGTCCCTCTGATTGACTGTGATAGTCTTGTCTCACTAGCACAGGGTCCTAAAGAGAAACTTTTCAGGAGGAATAGGAGGTCCAAGCTGATGAACTAGTTCAACAACAGAGCCTCAAGGCCACCAGTAGAGTTAAGTTATGAAGGCCATCCCAATTCAGTCACATAGGAACTACCCATATTTTGGGGAACATTGTCCCAGCATAGAGAAACTTGGGGAATCCATGCTTCGGCCACTCTACAGCCTATGCACTCAGTACACTGTGGCCGTGAAGCAAGGGTGCCTGGGACTGAGGAGAACCAACTTGCGATGACAGCACCAGCTAGCAGCCAGATTTTTATTAGCCAAAAATTTAGTCAAAAGGCCTGACTGGCATGGCTCAATTGAGCATTTTCCTACCATAAGGTCATTGGATCAATTTACAGTCAGGGCACATTCCTGGGATTCAGGCCAGTCGCCAGTTAAGGCATGTGAGAGAGGCAACTGATCAGTATTTCTCTCACACAGTGATGTTTCTCTCCCCCTGTTTTCCCTTCCCCTCTCTCTAAAAATAAATAAATAAATATTTTTTAAAGATTCGACCAACAAACTACTTTAAAGTCTCTCTTACCTGGAAACAAGTCTAATAACCTCTTTGGGCTGAGTTAGCTCCCATAGTTTTTGGTGAACTGGGTAAGAGAGACAGGAGCAAAATACTGGGTTTCCTAAGAAGGGAATGAATTGGGAAATTAATTTTAAATTATTATGAAATGTTATGTGACTCCCACCCCAGACTAATAAAGCAGGCCTGCTGATTGTATGCACACATGGTGGTGCCTCTTGTGTCTTTACATGGATACATACATACTCAAGCCCTGGGGCACATTGACACGTAGCAGGCACTCAGTAAATATTTGTTAAACTAAATGAATTGATTTTGAAGTTCTAAGAGGAATACCCAGTGGAAATGTCCAGTAGGTAAGAAAAGGAACATCTAGGTGTTAGGAAGGAGTATTCATACTAAACATTTATTCAGATGAACATACTTATTGATGACTTACAGTATGCCAGGAACTGGGGCAAGGCAAAAACAGAACAGTCCCCTCCCACAATAGTCTAGTCAGAGAACAGTTATTAATCAAATAAATATAAAATTCCAAATGTAGGAAGAGCTTTGAGTATACATTTAGAAAAATAATTGAGAGACTTACAGGTATACAAAATAGATGAATCCTTGGAGCTGAATGAACTGAGTAAGAATTAAAAAGAACATGTAACCTGAAAAGACACCAATGTTCAAGCTGCCTGTTACTACCAAACCCAATAAGCAATGACAGCAATTGAATCTTTATGGGCGCTTTATTCAGACGGCCGGTGATCTGAGAAGATGGTGGGTTCATACCCTAACAGACCATCTTGCTTTCTCTTTCTAGGCCAGACTTTTTATACCAGGGAATAAACAAGGTGCGGTGAGGGCTTTGAGATTCAGGGAGGATTAGGTGATAGAAGCTGCAGCATTCCTGTCCTGGACACTTAGACGTTCCCAGGGGCGGTGGTCATCTGTCTCTCCCTGGAACACAAAGGTCTGGATGCCTCCAGTTGTCCCCAAATGGTAATCTTTAGCAGTGCCCCAGGAGATCAGCTGTATTCCCCGAAGCCAGGACAGGCCTAATCTATAGATTCTGAAACAGAAGCGTTAACATACACATTACTGGCTAGACTTACAACTTTTTACCTTAAGCTAAAATTTTCCAAGTCCCCTATCAAACAGACAGTTGAGAAGAGGGATGCAACCCTGTGAAACCCCAACAGGATGGGGGAAGGAAAGGGAGCCAGTAGAGAGAAAAAAGTGATAGTTAAAAGGGAACCTGGAACCCTGAGGATCATAGGAGTAAAGAGGAAAGGATTTCCAGAAGAGTGTAAGAATCTTAATTCGGATTATCAGTCAATATTGGAGATACCATCCTCCATGAAACCTTTGCTAGACTCCTTTTACCTCTGCTTGATGTCCCCAGTGTATCCTGTTCAGATTTCTGTCACAATTACTGGAATGCTTATTTATTTAAGTGTCAGTAACTATCAAAAGGGAAGTGGCTAAATCTTTTTCTTTAATCCCACATTATCTGAAGAAAAAAAAGAATTGGATCCATACCTTACACTGTAAATAGAATGAAAAAAATAATTTATAAATTGCTCAAAAAAAGAATACAAAGAAAAACAAAATTTAAAGACCCCATAAAACTATTGGAAGAACACATGAAAGAGTTATTCATCAAATAGTTATCATAATCTTAGCAAGGAAAAGACCCTTACAAATCTTGAAATCCAGAAGCCATAGAAAAAAACAGTTGATGTTTGGCTTGTTAAAAAATAATTTATTCAACCCTGGCTGGTGTAGCTCAGTGGATTGAGCACAGGCCTGTGAACCAAAAAATCATGGTTCAAATCACTGCTCAATAATGAGAAGTGATTGGCAGTTTCTTTTAAACATGCCTGGTTGTGCGGGCCAG